CCAAGACAAAGAAAAACAAAATATTTGAATTGCAAAGTGGAACACCTATAGAACCACAAACCTTGTCAAGAAGTAGAAAATTTCTAGCCCTTTTGGGACCCACTATATCTCTTCCCAATCACATCTCTTTTTCTACCATCAAAGGTCAATGTTAATCTGACTTTTATAATAAAACTTCTTTGCTTTTCTTTATACTTTTACACATTTACCACTTAAGTTCACACCCCCAGATTGGTCTATTTTTAAATTTTAAATAAATGCAATCACACAGTATGCAATATTTTGTGTCTGGATTCTTTGGCTCCACAGTGTGTTTGTGAGATTCATTCATGTTGTTATATGTTCCTATAGTTCACTTATTTTCATTGGTCTGTTAGTCCACTATATGAATACACAATAATTATTTGTTCTATTGATGGTGGACATTTAGGTTATTACTAGTTTTGTGCTATTACAAATAGCTCTATGAACACTCTCAGTAATGTGTCTTCCAGTGCATAGGTGCACACAATTCTCTTGGATTTACATCTAAGAGTGGAGTATCTGAGTCACAGGTTATATGTATATTTGACATTAGCTGATGATCTCCAATAGTTTTCCAATATGTTCTTGGAAAAAAATTATACATTTCCACCAGCAGCATATGAGAGAGATTATTCCTCCATATCGACAATAAACACTAGGTATTGATAGTCCTTTTAATTTTAGCCATGTAGAAGGAACGTTGCATTTTTTTTTTTAAAGATTTTTTTTTTATTTTTTTCCTTTTTCTCCCCAAAGCCCCCCGGTACATAGTTGTATATTCTTCGTTGTGGGTCCTTCTAGTTGTGGCATGTGGGACGCTGCCTCAGCGCGGTTTGATGAGCAGTGTCATGTCCGCACCCAGGATTCGAACCAACGAAACACTGGGCCGCCTGCAGCGGAGCGCGCGAACCTAACCACTCGGCCACGGGGCCAGCCCCCGGAACGTTGCATTTTATTGTGGTTCTACATCATAGTTCTCAGATGATTAAAGAAGTGAGTCCCCTTTATATGTTTTCAGCCCATTCAATATTTTCTTTGCTGAAGATCTGTTCAAATCTCATGTGGCTGTCTGTGTTTATCTTATTGGCTTGCAAGAGTTCTTTATAAATTTTATATCGGTCCTGGTTCTCTGAGCAGCAGAAGCTCAGACAGATTAGATGTGTAAGAGATTCATTGGGGGAAACACTGGTGAGGGAAGGTGGGAAAAGCCTCCAGGAGTGATGCAGGTCTGACTCTTGTGAAGCAGAGAGGGATAAAAAGAAGGAGGGATGGTCACAGACTGAAATGTAGTTCTAAGAAGTTTTTTCAGACTTTTTAACTCAGACTGAGATAAAAGTCAAGAATAGAAACGAGGTTGGGAAAGGGAATTTTGAAGAAATTGAAGATTTTAAATTGTTCTTGAGGAGAATTGGGAAAATGTATTGATTAAAGAAATGTAGTAGGATTGCTGGGCCACGTTGATGGGCCCTTTGAAGCTGATGACATGAATTTATACTGGACTAAATCATCCCTATTTTGTGACTTTTTCTAGAAGTTTTCAGGGAACAGGTTTAGAGAAGGCTTAGGATAGGATTCATTCAGTACTGTGGAATTGTACTGATGTGCTGAACAGGCCAGAGTGTTGGAAATGTTAATGGTTATAAATTGTTTTGGAGGACATTTTGCTGCATATACCAATAAATATTAAACATGTATATCTCTGTCACTGTTTATCAGCATTAAAATACATATAAAATGCATGAATCCAGCAATTTCATATAGTTGATTTTGTAATTGTTCTATTTGTTTATGCCCCTGCT